AATCAACTGTGTCTCAGCGAATGATTAAAAAAAAAATCACAGTGGGCTATATCACAGACAAATATGAGGTTATCTGCTCCAATCAAAATTTACAGTCTTAGAAACTCAAAGGCACAGTTCTATTCTGTTCTACAGGATCACCGTGAGTTTGAATCAAATTGATGGAAGTGAGTTTTTGTTGTTTTTTACTGTCCATCCTTCCTTCTTTCCATCCACCAATATTCAGATGTCTGTAGTCTAAACTTCTCTTTCAATAATGATAAATATAAAGCAATATCCTGATTATCTTCAGAGCTCATATAATTTGATAAATACAAATATACTGAATGACTAATTGGTAGTGGCTAAAGGGCTGTGTGAAATCCAGGCTTTGTAGAAAAGAACCCATAACTGATTACTTTTGACCAAAGTAGATTTATGGAGTACTGTTGGTACTCTGGGTTAGCCAAAAGGCTGAGACCCAGAAGGTTGGTGGCTCAAACTCATCTTTCTCCATGGAAGAAAGAGGGAGTCTGCCTGTTTTCTTGGAGGGTTAGTCTCAGAAACTCTATATAAGATCACTGTGTTGGAATTGACCCAAGGGCAGTGAGTTTGAGCTTTTGAGCATGGATTTTGGAGTGTACAATGATAGTACACGTGCTCTAGTTATGCCATGCAGGTACTATGATTTCATAAAATGTCCTCTACTTTCCCTAGTTCTATTATTTCCTTTCTTCTATGTTGCAAATGCTTATTATGTATCTGCTTAAAATACACATAAACCCAATAGGATGCCATTTTATTACATCACGTTCATAAAGATAAAAATGCTCAACACTGGAGAGTTTGGGCCACAGGGTTACTAGAATTGACACAATCTTCTGAAAAGTGACTCAGCAAGAACCTACACCCCAGAATGAGTACAAGAACCTAGAACCATTTATACACTTTGACCCAGAAATCCACTTTTGGGAACTTATTTCGAAGACATAAAATTTCAAGTACTAAGAGTAAATGCTGAGATTAAACAGTGTGAGAAAAAAACCGAAAACTATAGCAAGATCATGTATCAAACAAGACTCTTTCCATCATAATGTTTTAAAAAAGGTGTACCACTTGGCTTTGGCAAACTGAGTCTTTGTAGTTCTTGCACCGCTGGGCTATCGTAACTGCTCTACTTTGAATTAAGTATTATTTTGTGGGAAACCACTACTTGCCTGGAATAACATCAAACAATGTAGTTTTGGGTGCTTACAGTATTTAGCAAAAATCAAAGCAAACAACTTTAGCACAATTTGGTCATTATACTCAGAGGCACACATTATAACTTTAATTGCTAGATGTTTTCTTATAAAAATCATAATAAAATATAACACTGTCTGGCAACTAGACAAATTCTTCAGTTTTCTCTTAATCTTAGATTGTTCTCCATGATTAGCAACTGAAGGATAACTAATTCCTGTAAGGCAGAGGCAATCATTCTGAAATCATGTTTATGCCATCAGCAGGGAACATATCAAGGTTGCTGCAGATTAGGAGATTCTAGAAAGGCTGGTTCGGTGTCTTTAAGCTACATTTTTTGCCAAACTACAACATTTCAGGGCATATGAAATTTATAAAGGCAGGAAATAAGTACTTAATTTTGATAATCATAAATATTTACATACAAGACAAACTGAAAGGAGGAAAACAGATATCCTAATATTAAAAAAATGATTTTTTCTCCTTCAAAACTAAACCAGAAGCTGGAATTTCCAGTGAAGGGAGAGTCAAGAAGCTGGTAAAACAATACCTTAACAACAATTATAAAACTACAAAAAAATAAAAAGATTGTCAAAAACAATGACTTCTTGGCTCAAACAAATAAATAGAGAAGTACTTATTAAGGAACACTGGCTAACCTTAGGATAAGATCAGTGGAGATCTGCAGCGCTTTGGCCTGAGGTCTCTCAATCACCCATACCTCAAGTTTAGTTGGTGTGAATGTTCTACCAGGTCAGGACTGGCTTTGTCAAATAGAGAGGCTAACCTGATTTGGAGCAAATAGTGAAAATTCCACGCAGAACCTTGTCCATAAAAGTAGCAAATTTGGTAGGAACCAAAGAGGGAAGGTTTGAAGCTTTGCTAGCTCAGGCTGCAGTGTTCGTTCACTGCAGGCTAGTTATACATTTACAAGAAAGGTTCTAAAACTGAGAGAGGCACCGAGGGGCTTAGAAAAGCCCTCCACACAGCCATCCTAAATAAGTATGCAGGGAGACCTACCAGAGCCTGAAGAAATAAAAAGTGAAGCAGATTTGAAAATTGCCTGAATTTTAAATGCAATTCCCAACCAGCACACAGGAGGCTAAGACAGAAAATATTGCTGTCATAGTTCCAATTCATACATGCCGGGTTTTTCCAAATAAAATAAGTTTAAACATATCTTTGTGATGACTAGGTAACTGTAGGCAAGTTTACTCCTTAGTCTCATTAGGATGAGATCCCACCCCTACTTACACCCCACCCCACCCCAAAAAAGGGGAATTGAAACAGGGCAGGGAGGTCATGATGACTGGTGTCTCTTTTATTATTTTCTTAAAGGACACAGGATATTCACAGAGGATTCTTAGGAAGAAGTTTTAAGGAAACTGCAAATTGCACTGGTGAGAAAAAGGTCTGCAAAGTTGTGCAGAGGAATTTTCTCCTATTGAGACAATGCCCCATCTGCTCATTCTTCAAGGGTAACTGGGGCTGTGGCCTATGAGAATTTCATTGGGAAACGTGAACGCTCTCCCCTCCTACAGCCCTGATCTTGTTCCTTCTGACTTCTAGTTCCCCAAAATGCAAAGAACATTTGAAAGAGACATTATTTAAAGATATAAAAAGTACTATTTTTATTGTGCTGAAAACAAGAGTGCAGAATTCTTTGGGGAAGGCTTTGGGAGTTGGAAGCATTACCTTCAGAAGTGTATAGACTTCCCCCAATAAAATGATTAAAAAAAAAATAAGTGTATAGACTTGATGGGGGCTATGTTGAGAATAAGTACCTTCATAATCTGACATTTTTATTTAGTAAAGGCTCCTATGATTTTTCTCTAAGTTCTTTACAAATTACCCCCATGCAGTCAGTGCAGAGAGTAGAAACCTTATTGGCTTGTGGTGTTTGAATACAACTTCCGATCTTTCCTTGTTTGGCCCCTAAATTCCACAGACATAGAGCAAATCCACAAACCCGACTTAGGAAGACCAACAACAACAAAAAGCAATTAACATGTTTTGAGTATGTGCACATGGCGGTGTAGACACTCAATTTTTGTCATTGCCCCTTTATTTCCTTTCTTTTTTCTAAAACTAGTGTTGTAGGGAGTTAGATTTCACAATTAAGTTCAGGTGAATTACTAAAAAATAGAAGTACTACTCCAATTGTCTTGGAGGAAAATCCCAATTGAGAGTGGTAATGACTTGGGCTGCTAACTGGCTGGTAGGCAGTTCAAACTCATCAGCCACTTCTGGGGAGAAAGATGAAGACTCCTGTCCCCGTGTAAAGTTTACAGCCTTGGAAACCCAAAGGGTCCATTCTACTCTGCCCTACAGGATCACAGAGTCAAAATTAATTCAGTGCCAGTCAGAGACTGTATATTTTATAGTTTTTAATAGCAGCAAAAATATAAAGCCATACAACCAAAAAAACAGCAAGAGTGACCTGAAGGAGATAAGAGACAAACTCTGAGAAGCTCAAATGTTGGCTTAAGCAGATAAAAACTTCAAAAACAGCTTGATAAATGTGGTATAATAATTTTTAAAATTATGTTTTAAAAGGTAAAATATGGTTATAGTGAATCAGCAAATGGGGACTCTCAATAAAGAAACAGATAAAAAAGAACCAAACAGAAATCCTACAGTTGATAATTTTCATTTATACCTATTTTGATAGAATTATAGGTATATAACTTTTTGTATTGGTCAACATTATACATTTTTTAAAGTGTGTTTAGTACTTGAGGTGTAGGATACTTATTAAGTCATTATCCTTTGTAAATTCTATATAACTTGAACAAAGGCAAAAACATGCCTGTCTTTTCAGACTGAACTCGTCAAAATGATGTTAATTTTAAAATTAAAGTACTTAAAACTAACAAAAGGCATTTCAACATTGTTTGAAGTCAAATGAACCCCAAGGAAGGAGCCCTGGTGGCACAGTGGGTGAAGCAGTGGGAATTACCCTCCAGACTGGAGGTTCAAATCCACCAGCCACCCCTCAGAAGAAAGATAAGGCTGTCTGCTCCTAGAAAGAGTTCCCACCTCTGAAACTTCAGGAGTTGTTCTCGTCCCGCGGGGCTGCTAGGGGAGGAATGGACTGGGCGGCAGTGGTGGGCACAGCCGCTCTTACGTCTATGAATCTAGAATGGTTTTCAGACAACTCATTTGTTTTTCATGGTTAGCTGTCAGCTTCTATCAAGACTGTTTCTAGAATTATTCAAATTTAGTATTTTCAAGAGGATAACAAAATATAATGTAGGAGGATAAACCCATTTCAATACTACTAAAATTAATTGAATACAATAATCATGGAGTTATAAAACAGCATTTGTGCCTATGTGCATTAAATATATTTTTAGCAGACAGATTTTAATTGATAACAGAATAGCAGCAACTATTTCTAATAATAATAATAATCTATTTTTTTACTTTCTTATGCTGCCTTAATTAGTAGAGAGTTCATTTAAATAAAACCTCATTTAGATTTGCTATTCTGATTCCTTGTATTAAAAAACCTGTTTTACCATTTCAAGAACTTTTATTTCTTATTTTCAATTATGATAATCTAAGCTGAAGAATCATTAGCTGCAGAAACCCCGTTTAAAATGTGTGCTAGCACCAGACCTGATGGGAAAACATTCCCAAGGGTCAGCAGGCGCAACCTCACATATTACCCCTGGGAATAGGCATACTGCCCGTAATGTCATGTAACGACATACTTTTTACATGAACATAGCTATCCAGAATACTGTTACTAACTTAACTGGGAAAAACATACTTACTCGGTAATGAATTCAGGGTTTGGAAAGCTGAGGTTGGGTAAATGACCTTCAAGCTTAGGCGACTCACGAGGTTTCAAGGCTGGAGTGGTCTTCGTGGCGAGCACAGCTCTCTTTGCATCTTTTTCGAGTGCTTTCCTCTTTCCACCATTTTGAAAATATTCCCTGCATACACTAAAAGGCAAAATGAAGTGTGTTTTCAGATGCTGGTTATGAATGTGAAATAAAATGCAACGGGAGATTTTCAAATGAAAGATTTCTATTTGAAATGGTCACAGGTTTGGAGGCACACTCAGTGTTCAGTTGCCATACCCCAAAGGATGGTAAAAGACTATGTTTAATAGAGAGAAAATACGTTTGAACATCTTCTTAACTAAAACTTAAGTTCCTTTGGCAGAGCTTAGATGTCTCTGCAGTAACGCATCTAGGACGGCGTTGCTGTGTTAGGAGGCCGTTCGGCCAGTCCTGACTGCACAGCACTCCACTCCAAACAGAACAAAACACTGCAGTCTTGTGCCCTCCACGCAAGTGTTGTGTTTGAGACCACTGTTACACCCTGCCTTTGTGAGGATCCCCTTCTTTTGTCACTGACCCTGTCCTGTACCAGACACGATGCACTTTGTCAGGGAAAGGTCTTTGCTGACAAGAGGTATGTAGGCCCAAGTTTAGCCATCCATGCTTCCAAGGAACATTCTGTTGTACTTCTTTCAAGACAAATGTGTTTTCTGGCAGTCATTTCTAGCCATTAATTTTGACTTATAACCGAAGGAGGAGTCTAAGGGCACTTTCTGGAATGGGGCTATAAAGAGAGGTGGAGGTACCCGAGTAAAACACTTAAGACCTATCAAACTGTACACCAGAATATGGGTGCTTTATTGTGTACATTATATCTCAATACAACTGATGAAAACGTAGCTTTTATCAACTTAGACCTAACAATGAAATGCTTTAATCATAGAACATTTCAGCTAAGACCCAACAAATGTGAGTGACACGTCTACATACCTTTCTATCAGGTAGAACCACGTAAAAGTTCCAATATGCAACACATCTTGAGCTGTAAGGATGAGTATTTTATTTGGTTCACCTTGATGTTTACCAAGAAACTCAGTAGCAAAATTTTTAAAATGCTAAACTTCCAAGTTCTCAAAGGATAATGATGGCCACCCCCACATACCCTCTAAAAAAAAACGATACAGATCCTACGGGAAGCAAATAAAAGCACTTACAGCTAAGGACCATGGCTTAACTAGGAACAGAGAATAAAATTTCATTTTATAGAATTCAGACACCACCTGGATTGACTCTGTAGTCTGTCCACAGCAGAGAGTCAGATGGTGACAGTATAAAAGAGAAATGAGTGCTGGCTCTCACAGGTGGCAGGTTTGGGGGGTGGGGGAGCTAACACAAAGTAGGGATTATCACCAGAAGAGCACAATGTTGATTGGAGAACTTCTAAATAGAAGGCAAGGGAATGGTGAATGAGCACATTAGCTACCGGGAGGTCAAAAGGAGCATGTTTTGAAAGTATATAGGAAATATTCATGAAAAATGTTAAATAATGAACAAGAAATATGTATTTAAGGAATGAAAGCATACATCACTGAAGAAAATTCATTAATTCATTATACTAATACACCTATGGAGAAAACTCATAGTTTCACCTTCACAGATGCTGCAAAGGCATTAACGAGATTCAACACCTTTCTTTTTTTTTTTTTCTCTTCTAATCATTTTATTAGGGGCTCATACAACTCTTATCACAATCCATACATACATCAATTGTGTAAAGCGCATTTGTACATTCATTGTCCTCATCATTCTCAAAACATTTCTTCTCCACTTAAGCCCCGGGCATTAGGTCCTCATTTTTCCCCTCCCTCCCCTCCCTCATGAGCCCTTGATAATTTATAAATTATTATTTTGTCATATCTTGCCTGGTCCGATGTCTCCCTTCACCCACTTTTCTGTTGTCTGTCCCCTAGGGAGGAGGTCACATATAGTTCCTTGTAATCGGTTCACTCTTTCCTACCCACTCTCCCTCTACCCTCCCAGTATCGCCACTCACACCACTGGTCCTGTAGGGATCATCTGCCCTGGACTCCCTGTATTTCCAGTTCCTATCTGTACCAGTGTACATGCTCTGGTCTAGCCAGACTTGCAAGGTAGAGTTCGTGTCATGATAGTGGGGGCGGGGAGGAAGCATTTAGGAACTAGAGGAAAGTTGTATTTTTCATCATGGCTACATCGCACCCTGACTGGCTCATCTCCTCCCCGAGACCCCTCTCCAAGGGGATCTCCAGTAGCCTACTCATGGGCTTTGGGTCTCCAAAGCCCCCATCATTCACTATGGTAAGATTTTTTGTTCTGATGATGCCTTATACCTGATCCCTTCGACACCTCGTGATTGAATAGGCTGGTCAACACCCTTCTTAATAAGAAAACTCAATGAGCTAGAAATTGGTGACTACTTCAGTATTAAAAACACACATATAAAGAAACCTTCCAAACTCATCGAGTCAATGCGGGTTTCCAAGACTGTAACTCTTTAAGGGAGTAAAAAGCCTCCTTGTTCTCCAGCACAACAGCCATCAGTTAAAAGCCCAACAATTTACAGTATATATTACATGTATTATCATTGAATGTAGAAGGCACAACTATGTGGAATATGTTTGAAAGTAGATTAAGACTCCACAAGCTAGCCTAGCGAAAGCGAGACAAAGGGGAAGAGAGCTTAAAAGGTATTCTTGCTTGCAAATATTCCTAGTCTTGTATGTTAATAAGATTAATTATAAAATATACAAGCATCACTTAGGTATAATAGTTTAAGGAGTACAATAGGAAGAGAAAAATTAATACATAACACTCACATAGCATACAACATCATTCAATATAATATGACCTTCATCCTCCAAAGTTTTGCCAAATGATTATCTGTCAAAGATGGAGCTTTCTACTACTATAAAGATGTATCGTCTCAGAAATCCATGGGGGCAGTTTTGCTTTGTCCTGTAGGTTTACTATGAGTCAGAATCAACTCAATGGTAGTGACATGGGAGTGAGTTTTTGAGTCAGGCCAGAAGAGCCTAGTGGTGTATCAGGTAAGCATTAACAGCTAACCACAAGTAAGCAGTTCAAAACTACCAGTGACGATTCTCCGCCTTGAAAACCACATACTGGCTTGATGCGAGCTGGAATGGACTTGATGGCAGCAGGTTCGGTCTGGTTTAAGTTGGCTAGCCCAGACAGGGGCAGAATCCCACTGACTTGCTTGGGTAGGTACTTGATGGAAATTGGAATAGCAGGGCTCCTTGGTCTTCAGTCATACCTGGCCCTTCCGAGGGCTCTAGAACCACCATGCAGGCTTTTCTAATCTGCAACAAGGTGTATACATCACCAACGTAGTTCCTCCTGCAAGGCTTCAGTCCCAACAGCAAAGTGATGAACTGATCTGCTGCCAAAGAGGATTTTGTGACAATTTCCTTTTTTTTTTTTTTCCAATTAAAACCTTATCATCTGGGTATAATGTTACCCTGGCTCTTTTGCTAATACGCTACAGTGCATAAATTTCCTTTTAGTTGTTTTCAGAAACCAACAGCCCCACTCAGAAGATGACCTGCACAAACCCATGCTAAAATAACTAATTTAGGTCCCCACATCCTTGCAGACTTTCAGCCAAAAGAATCAACCTATTAAACTCCAGTAAAAGTTTCAGGTTTCCAGGAACAGGTAATCCCAAACCCTTCCTGCACACCTGTACAGTGAATTAAAAATGGCACGGTTCTTTAAATTGATGTGTGGATGAGTTAGGAGCCCTGGTGTCATAGTGGTTCCAAGTTGGCCTACGATCCACAAGGTCAGCTGTTTGATACCACCAGCAACTCCGAGGGAGAAAGACTGGACTTTCTACTCCTGTGAATAGTTATAGGCTCAGAAACCCAGAGGGTTGCTATGGGTCAGTATTGACTCCATAGCAGGGAGTTTGGACTCCCAAGAGGATCCAAATTCACCGAAACTCTTGGAAGACTCTTGGACCCAAAAGAGGCCTGCCATCTACTTTTCTGGCCTGAGTAGTAGAATGTTGGCCCAATTGTCTCCGGGTGGTAGCTGTCACCTGTGAGTTAATCTCACAATCCTAATTAGTTAACCTATTGTGCTCCCCCCAAACAAACCAAGAACCCAAATTCACACAGATATGGAGCCAGCGAGTAAGCCCTAATTCTGTATTTCCCTTGCTAGAGCAAAAGGAAGGCCGCTGGTTAATGGTGGGAAGGCTGGGTAAATACCAGGCCTTTCTGTTAGATAAGCTGCCTGTCACCCTGAAAGCCTCTTCAGCTTTTTGATACCGTTTCAATCAAGATCCACCTGACATCAGCAATGCTATCCCTTGTTCCAAATCCTCTTTGGTGTCTGACCTGAACCCCTGGCAGCTCTCTGTCAATGTACTTTTGCAACCGTTGTTGATCTTCACCAAAGTTTTACTTGCAAATGATATCAAGGATATTGTTCTATAATTTGGGCATTCAGTTAGGTCACCTTTCTTTGGAATGGGTACAAATAGGGACCTCTTCCAGTCAGTTGGTCAAGTAGCTATCTTCCAAATTTAGACAAAAGAGTGCTTCTAGTGCTTCATCAGCTTGTTGAAATGTTTCAATTGGGATTCCATCAATTCCTGGAGTCTTGTTTTTGGCTGATTCAGCCCAGCTTCAACTTCTTCCTTAGCACCATTGGTTCTTGTTACCTAAATGGTGGAATGTCGATTTGTTCTTTTTGGTACAGTGACTCTGTGTATTCTTTCCATCTTCTTTTTTTTAAAGTTTTACTGATACTTCATCCTCCAACTTCTTTAAGTCTTTTGCCCATAGAATCTCTCAAAATTGCAACCCACGGCTTACATTTTTTTTCTTGAATTCTTTCAGTTTAAGACATGCCTAGTGTGTTCTTCCTTTTTGGTTTTCTCATTCTAGGTCTTTACACACTTCGTTACAATATTTGGCTTTGTCTTCTCCAGCCGCTCTTATAAAACTTGAATTCAGCTCCTTGATTCCTTCATTTTTTCCATTTGCTTTAGCTACTCTATGATGAACACCACCTTTCCAAGTGTCTTCTGATATTAACTTTGATCTTTTCTTTCTCTCCTGTCTTTTTAATGACCTTGTGCTTTCTTTGTGAAT